TTTTGAGAAAACCTTGGTTTTTGAAAATTTTCCCTTCTAGGTGTTCTAGAATTATTTTGTCTATTTGAAAAATTATTTTTATGCACAGAATCATTTTGATAACTTTTCCTAGGTTGTCTATCATGCACATTTTCATTCCTAGGTTTTTGTCTAGGTTGTCTAGTGTCCTTAGGTTGACTAGATTTTCTATTATCCTGATTTTTAACTTTCTTATGTTGAGCCTTAGGAGGTTTTCTAGATGTTTGCTCAACGTTTTTATCCTTAGATTCATTTTTATCAAAACCTATTCCTTTCTTAGAAAAGTGCATGGTGTCTAGAAGTAAATTAAGATCTTTGTGTGGTGTATTAAATTTCTTAACCGTACTCTCAAGTTTTGCAACTTTTTCTTTTAAGGTTTTGCAAGATTCACATTTACTTGAAGAACTTTCTGGTTTGTCAGCGCTTCTTTTGCCATAAATTTTTTTTTCTTGTTTTAACCTTTCATTATCTTTTTCCAACTTTTCAAAATCATTTTCAAGGGTTGAAAGGTGTTTCTTTAATGATTTATTGGTTTTAGAAGCTCTAACAAATTCGTCATAAAGCTCATGAAGTGCTTCTTGCATTTCTTCAAAAGAATAAGAGTCGGAAGAAATGGTACATACCTCTTGAACGTCGTCGGTTTGATCTTCGTGCGCCATGAGACAGAGGTTGGCGGCTTCCTCCTCTTCTTGATCCGTTGACTCATCCCCGGAGTCGCCTCCCCAAGAGATGTAGGCGCGTTGCTTTTTGAAGCCAGGTTTGTCCTTGCCGCCTTTGCTTTTTGGACACCTTGGCTTGATGTGGCCTATCTCACCACAACCATAGCACTTCGGGGGACCGTCGTGCTTTCTTCCTTTGCGCTCAAATTCCTTCTTCAAAAATTTGTGCAATTTCTTGATGACAAGTCCGAACTCGTTGTCATCATCGCTTGAGTCATCTTCCACGGTCTCCTTGGTTGCTTTCAGTGCTATTCCCTTCTTCTTTTGCTCATCCAAAGACGGGGTTAGAATAGTAGATTCATAAGTTTTGAGATTACCTCTTAGCCCGTCGATGGTGACATTTGAGACTCCGATGGATTCATAGATTGCATCTGCCTTTGATCTCCATTCGGGTGTGAGACTTCGCAGGATTTTTCTCACAAGATCCTTGTTGGTGTAAGTCTTCTTGAGTGCATGAAGGTCGTTGATGATTTTTGAGAACCGATCGAACATGTCATCGATCTTTTCGCCTTCCTTCATCCTGAACATCTCGTACTCCTGCGTTAGGAAGTCAATTTTGGCTTCCCGAACCTGGTCCGTACCTTCATACGTGACCTCCAGTTTGTCCCACATTTCTTTTGCAGTGGTGCAGCAAGAAATCTTGCGATAATCATCAGGATTGACGGCACAGTACAGCATATTGATAGCCTTGGCGTAGTTCTCCACTTTTTTGATGTCTTCGGCATCAAATTCGTCCTCGGTCTTTGGGACGAGTTTTTCATCGACCTTCTTCATTGGAGTTTCCTCGCCATTCTTGATGACCAACCACAACTGAAAGTTGGTTGAGCGGATGTAGATTTTCATCCGCTCTTTCCAATATGTGTAGTTGGTGCCATCAAAGAGCGGTGGCCTAGAGGTTGATTGACCCTCTCCAATTCCTGCATAGAGATTTCTAGAAGAAGAACTCATGATCGCTTTACTCTCAAACGGTTAAGTTTGGACGCGAGTTAGGCTTTGATACCAATTGTTAGAATAATAGACCAACGCTAGAGGGGGGGTGAATAGCGTTTGATCGGAGAAATCGCAGGAATTAAAAAATTAAAAGAGAAGAGAAGAGTAAGAGGCACACCGAATTTTACAACTTGTGGCTAATCCAGCCTCCCGAGAGACTCTCGAGCTACACTACTATCTCGTTAAGCTTACGGGTGCTTAACAAACCGTTACAACTTGAGAGTTCGAGTCACACGAACCTCAACGAATCCTTCAAAGGAAACAGACCTTCCTTTGAATCAACCAAGAGAGATACTATCTCTCAACGTGTCTAAGAACACAAGTACACTCAAGAACGAGACTCTCTTGTAGAGTAGATTATGAGTAAACTATGTACGCTCAAGAACAACTCAACCTTCACACAAAATGGCTCTAGAAAGCTATGGAAAATGATGATATTTGAATGCAATGAAAGTATAGATGTTGTGAAGTGAATTGGTGAGAAAAGCAGACCCAAACACCCCTTTTTATAGTGCCAAAGAAGGCTCCAACGGACCAATGCATTAAAGGGGTGATTGGCTTGATTTATGGGATTGAAAAGATTTGGGATCTGCAGAATATTGGCTTCCCATCGATGTTTAGACTCAACCATCGCTGGTAAGCCAATTTT